TGTATAATCCATGGCCAATTCGATTTTATGTGATTGATAAAATGAAAGGATTTCGTTATATAGCTGAACCAATGAAAGGATCATATTCATTAGAATTAATCAAAGATGCATTGAATCAAGTTATTCAACAACAACATGATGAATAATGATATAAAGTGTTGTTGTGTTATGTAAAAATAGCTAAATGATGTTTTTTGTTGAAAGTATAATGAATATACAGATGAAAAACTGATGATAATCTTTTGATAACATAATAATACAAATAATCATTTTGTAAAATTTTGTATTTGTTTTTTAATATTTTTTTTATTGTATTGAAATAAACTCGAATTGTGTAAAACATATAATTTCTTTAATATTGCTGATAGATAATATTGTTAAGGTAAAATGAAATTTGGACATGTTTCGAAATTCTTATGAAATTACGACAGAATTCTGTTTTTTGGTAGGCATTTTTATTGTCCATTTTCTATCAGAATTTTGACAACAAATTTTTTCAAAAAATATGTAGAGGTATATGCATGACTGGTGAGATTTTGATTGATAACAGTGATTGAATACGAAGTACAGTACGTAAGTATTTTCGTACTTTTTACTTGAAAATCCATAATACTCAGTACATGTGACTTTAGTACAGTTGTATCAAGTATTGATACTTAAGTGCATACGTACTTAGTACCTGTACTAAGTACACATGTATATGTTTCTTGCTAAAGAAGATTTAACTACTTTACATGATTGTGTTTCAACGTCAAATAATAATAATACAAATCATCAACAACAATCAATTGATATTGATATTTATTTAGACAAAATCAACGAAATTTGTCAATAGTAATTGATCGTAGAATTAATCATTTTAAACATTTTTTTGATTATATCATAAGAAACAAATTTAAAAAATAATTTATCATCCATTATTTTATTTGATATATGCAATGAAGATGCATTTCCTATGCGTTTATATGTATTAATAATAAAAGTTCTATAAACAAAAATACAAGAAGATTTAACATTAATAACAAATCTTAATTCATTAAACTCAATAAAAAAAATTCATTTTATTTAATCTTTTTTCTCAAGTATATTCATTACAACATATACCAACATTATTAACATATTATGGTAATCGTTCTTGTTGATCTGAAATGTTATTTATTACAAAATTATTTTATTATACTGCGGATGACATTATATCATGTTTACCATTAACACAACAAAAAAATATGTTATTTGAACATTTAAGATATTGTTTTAAACATTTAGTAAAACAAGATATTTTCGCTTTATTAAATGATCAAACATCAACATCAGAACAACTTAAATTAAGATTTCAACAAGGTAAATCATAGGTGACTTCAGATTAAATCAAACTAAACTTGATATATATATCTACACGTAGAACTTATGAGTTATCTTATTTAAATTACAGTATGTATGTATTAGTCTTTTTTTTTATTGCAAGGCAGATTGATTGATTTAAAAAAAAATATCATAAGAGAGAAAGTATACTCTATTTTGCATCATAAAACAGCATAATCTATTCTTTTTTTTCTATAATGTGCCGAAGGACGATGAGATAGTTTTAATAATATATTGTTTACTGTTATGAAGGTTGATATGTTATGATCGTAAACAACAGACAACAAAGTCAACCTTGATTATAAAACTGAAAATAAATTATATCACAAATTTTTATATACCGACAAAAAGAAACGAGTGCATCCAAATTAAATGAGAATTTAATCTAGCATTTAATTTCATTTCTAAATAAAAATTGTTTGATTATAAAAATCACAATCATTAGTTGGCTTTATTTGTTCCAGATTTTGCATTATTTTTAAACAAATGAAAAAAAATACTAATTAAATTTTTGTTAAAAATAAGATTGTCAAACGCTATATTGTCTAAAGTTTCTTACTTCGAAAGTACAGCTGATGGCAGATAATAAATCATTAGTATTCTTTCAACATATGATAGTTTGAATTCTCGATGTCGATAATATGAATTTTATTTTATTCTACGATAATCGTGAATGTTGAGAATTTTATGATAACCTCAAAGTTGTTATTTCGAAATCGAGTCTCGATTCGTGTGCCATCTAGTTCAAGAAGAAAATATTACAATAACTTATAAAAAAACGCAGAAATTTATAAAAAAAAACCTCTATTATTATTGTGTTACTATTATTTTTTTAAATCGATTAATAGAACAGTTATTATGCGAAATAGTACATAGATAAAAAATAAATATTCTAAACTAAAAATCACGTCTTGTTTCTCATACACATCTAATTCATTTTATTTTTTCTGCATACGATAGTTTTAAAAATTTAGATACATAAGCCAGCTTTTCTTATTCATCATCGCTTTTACTATCATTATTCTCCTTTTTTTTTGTTCTGTTCTGTTCTCTTTCTCTCTACACAACGTGTGTGATTTTGTTTTACTCTTCTTTACCATGAGTATCGACAAATGTCATGGTTGAATGAATATGATATTATTAATCCTTGTTTCTTTTCATATGATATCAAATACAACTACAAGCAATCATATCATTGTAAATTTGTTTTTAAATACTGTTTTCTCGAAAATCGACTCTAAATAAACTAAAGCATTTTCAAACTCATTTGATTTGTTCATCAAAGTAAAAGCAGCCCGAAAATGCTCGATTTTTGTAAGAAATCATTTTTCAAAAAGTGAAAAATCAAATTTATTATTCCTGGTGTCTCAGATATATTATTTTCAAACAATTGGGAAGCCTTTGGTGAATTCTTATGAGGATCTCTGGAATACTATTCATTGAACTCTTACAACTTATTTTCTAGTTTACAGTTTATCATAAGATTTATATCATGTATGATGATTTGATGGTATTTTGCATTATTTTCAGAAAAAAACAAGTAAAATGTATTTTTAGTTGATTTTTATTATTGGAAATGAAAACAAAATATAAAAAAGAAAAAAGGAGAAAGCGATAAATAAAATGTGCGAGACTAAATAAATGGTTAAACGATATTAATGTTGAGAAAGAAAAAAGAAAAGATAAAAAAGAAATAAAAGTAAAATGATAGACAAAGAATTTGGAACTAACTATATGATAAAGAATGTCAGTATTTTGTTTTGTATGCCACTCCATGCAATTCGTCCTTCCTATAAAAAAAGCAAAGAAGCATTCAGTCGAATACTAGAAAATAAATAGAATAATAATCTGAAAGAAAAGCAAGTAAAAAATAAAATACAATATTAGAACTATTCTGTCTTAAATAAATACATGAATAGTCTTAAGAAAACACACTTACCATGATTATTAAAAATCCATTCAAATATGTAATTCACTTTATAAATGTGTTGAAAAGGTGTACTACTAATTGAGACATAACGAAAGAAGAATAAATCAGCTTAAGATTCTGTTCAAGTATTTTATACTGTTGAAAGGAATATTTGAACGAGCTAGGCGACTGACGAGCATATGTGACTTATAAACTGTTTGCACAAATACTTAATGCAACTATTTTATTCACTTTGCATAGAATTTTTATTCGACCAGCTGATTCGTGAGCAAACAACAGATGAATAAGTCATAATAAGATTATATACAAGTATTTCTTTTCGTTCGAAGAATAATTTCTAGAATAGTTTAATATTCACAAACAAATTATAGATGAATAAATCATACCAAGATTCTGTTCTAGTATTTTACTTCATTTGGAGAACAATTTCTAAAATAGTTTAACATTAATAAACAAATGATAGATCAATAAGTCATATTAAGATTATGTGCAGGTATTTCTTTTCGTTCGAAGAAAGATTTCTAGAATAGTTTAAGATTCACAAATAAATGATAGATGGATAAGCCATAAAAATATTGTGTACAGGTATTTCTTTTCGTTTGAAGAAAGATTTCTAGAATAGTTTAAGATTAACAAACAAATGATAGATGAATAAGTCATATTAAGATCGTGTACAGGTATTTCTTTTCCTCCGAAGAACAATTTCTAGGATAGTTTAAGTTTCACAAAGAAATGATAAATGGATAAGTCATAGAATGATTGTGTATAGATATTTCGTTTCATTCGAAGAATAATTTCTAGAACTGTTTCATATTCACAAAAAAATGATAGATGAACGAGTCATAAGAAGATTCTGTTCTAGTATTTTACTTCTTTCGAAGATGAATTTCTAAAACAGTTTCACATCTACAAACAAATGATAGATGAATAAGTTATACCAAGATTCTGTTCTAGTATTTTACCTCATTTGAAGAATAATTTTTAAAACAGTTTCATATCCACAAACAAATAATCGATGGATAAGTCATACCAAGATTCTGTTCTGATATTTTACTTCATTTGAAGAATAGTTTCTAAAATAGTTTAAGATTCACAAACAAATGATAGATGAATAAATCATAGCAAGATTTTGTTCTAGTATTTTACTTCTTTCGAAGAACAATTTCTAGAACAGTCTAGCATTCATAAACAAATGAGAGTCGAATAAGTCATAAAAAGATTCTATTCTAGTATTTTAATTCGTTTGAAGAATGATTTCTAGAACAGTCTAACATTTATAAACAAATAATAGATGAATAAGTCATAGTAAAAGTGTGTACAGGTATTTCTTTTCGTTCAAAGAAAATTTTCTAAAGTAGTTTAAAATTTAGAAACAAGTGATAGATAAATAAATCATAGCAAGATTTTGTTCTAGTATTTTAATTCGTTTGAAGGATAATTTCTAGAATAGTTTCACATTCTCAAACAAATGACAAATGGTAAGTCATAGGAAGATTGTGTACAGGCATTTCGTTTCGTTTGAAGAATAATTTCTAGACTAGTTCCACATTCGCAAACAAATGATAGATGAATAAATCATAGAAAGATTTTGTTTTAGTATTCTTTTAGCATTGAAATGAGATTTTTATGTCACATCAGCACATCTCAAAGTAAACCACAGTTGAACACATCTAACAAACATCATATTCACATACTTCATTCAATCAAATGTAGAATTCACGGTATGTTTAAAGATTGACTAGTTAATGGACAATGAATGAGTGATAAGAAGATTATGTTCAAATATTTTTGTTAGTTCAAAATCATATTTCGATGACACTAGATAGCTAAGAGATAGTGATTATGAATGTCGCATATCAAGCTATGGTTCAGCTATTTTAGTGGAATAGAATTGATATTCTTAAGAGACTTTTTGATCGAAGAATGAACGATAATGAATATTGCATAGAAAATGCACATACCAATATGTTGAAGAACATATAAATTATTATCTGTATGAAAGTATATGACTTATTCTTACATATAATATAAATTGAGCGAACAAAAGATTCATTCAAATATGTTAACGACTTCAACACAACATTTGTCATTGTATGTCTAATCAGAGATAGTTCAATATATGAATTGTAGAACAGTAATGTTATACGAATATTTTAATAACAGTAATAGGAATTGATTGAATGAGTATCGTAAGCTATAGTCGCACAGAAAATGAATATTACAGTTATAATCAAATTCAGATACGTTCAGCTGTTAAAAAAATAGTTTCGTTTCAAAAAATTATTAAGGATCTCATGGAAAATGAGTATTTCATAGTCTTTTAATTTGTTCAAAAATCATTCTCGTTTCTCAAGATGTAATTGAAGTTACAATATGATTGTATAGTATAAATTAAATCAATAGTTCTTGCCTATATGATATTAGTCAAAAACTTCATTTACTCAAGAAAAAAATCCAGGAATTATTTTATGTACAGGAAATCAGTAAGAAGTGAATAACTAAAAACATCATTCAGCCCAAATATTTTATTTATATTAAAAGCAAACTTTCGATGACTCAGATAATCGACCGTCGGATAATAATTGAATTTTTCTCACAAAGATTCGATTTGAATATAATGTTAGAATTTCAAAATAGACTGATATTGTAGTAATAAGAATAAAAGTTGTATACTACATGAATGACTCTAATAATAATTCTATTCAATTGTTACCTAACTTTTCAACAAGAATTGAGAGTTTATCTATGATTGATGAATATATTCCAAATGAATATTCAACAGAAGTATTCTATTCAGATATATGATACCCTAGAACAAAAAATTTGAGATTTGTTTTGACTGATGAATATACGAAAAGTGAATATTTGCAACCAGGACTCTAATCAAGTATATTCCTCACTATAGTTAAAAATCGAGATTCATCACACTTACTGAATATGTCGTAAATGAATAATTGTAATCATAATTGTGTTCAAATATTTGCACGGTTAACAACAAATCGAACACATTGTGATAGAATTAGTGTCTATATTGACAATGACTAAATCTAAGGAATGTTCTATTCCGATACTTATTCATTGCAGAAAACAGCCGAAAAGATTATTCAGCATTCAATAAACCTGTAGTTAATGTACATTTATGACGAAAATATTATTCAATATTCATTTACTATTATGAAAAGTTTCAAATTTCTAACATACAGTCCATAAATATGAGACTAGCGAATAACTCAGACAAATCCTTTCTTCAAATATATTCTTATTTACGACAACAACAGTCAAAGTGTATATATTGACAAAGAAATTCATAACAAATGAATGATTCTAAGCATCATTCTATTCAAATATTATAGTAAATGTCATATATTTCACGAAAGTATACTAAATAATAAGATCATATTTAAAATGAATGATTCTAAGCATCATTATATTCAAATATTACAGCGCATGTCATATATTTGACGAAAGCATACTAAATAACACAGATCATAATTACAATGAATGAAGGATACGCTTCGCATAGGATTGGAGAAATCTTCTCATAAACATCTCAGCAATTTCATCAGATGCATCTTCTTCATCGTCATTGATGAAACGGGCCTTGCAGATCGTTGAGCAAAAAACCATTAAAGCCAAAATACACACTACAGTCTTGTTAGCAACCATTGCACTTGTTTGTATTGAAGGAAATAATAATTATTGTATAATAGTCAGTATTTTGAAGCGATAACCACTTTTTAGTTTTGCAAGAATATTTTTAGTCTTTATATAGCCACACAAATACAGATGAGAGTAGTGAAAAATATCGATTTTTGTCCATCAATTCAAGGCAACGGGTTGTCATTACAAAAAAAATAGACAACAAAAATGAATGATTAGTTTTGATTGATGATAACATATAACGACTTGCGTTTTACTTTGATACAAAATAAAATAAAATACGCTTCAGTGACAGCTATGTTTACATGTTGTGCAAAATAAGTATTACTGATCTATTGATCGATTGCTTAAGTTTATCGATCACATGTCCACTATTTGAAATAGTAGCTTTCGTATAGATACGATTATGACCATGAAAATATATGACAGCTATACACAAGTATTCGATAAAGAAAAAGAAAAGAAAAAGAAAGAGAAAAGATACGATCAATATGAAAGTAACTCATGTGTGACAAAAACGAAGGATATTTACAACAATATGAAACTAGTGAATGGCTATAAAATGTTCAATCAATATTAGGAGTGTTACTTTATCTTTACTTTATGAATAAAGGTAAAGATTTACTTTATTTATAAAAATAAAGTTAGAATAAAAAATAAAGATACATTTTTCACGTTATCTAGTGTTCTTTCTGATCATTATCATCATTTCTATATGCTGTATCATCAAAAAAAAAGGATCACAGAAGAAACGATACATACGAAAAGTATTATTCCATACTATATTTTACCTACATAATATTATGATACTTTGTGAGCTACTCCAAAAAAATAAAAGATTACGTTTTGATAGAAAAAAATTTCTTTATTTTTTATTTTATCTTTATTCTTTAGATATATTTATACATAGGAAAGAATTTATACCTACAAAAAGAATTTGTTTAAATTTTTCATTATTTTGTAACATCATTAATATACTTCATTCAAAGAAGAGCAATATTTATAATATCTATAGAAGAAAAAACAATAGACTATCTAAAATGAACACTTGATATATACATATCTGTTATTTCAACAGTACGAAGTATAGATTTAAGAGTGAAAATATTTACAAAACACATTATTTTATTGAACACTTTTTTATAAAATGATATTTAATAAACATTATCGTTTAGATCTGGTGGTCATCTAGAAAATGAAGAACGATCTTTATCAAATAAATATAGTTGCTCTCAAAGTGGATCAAATTCACAATCTCAACATGATAAAGAGTCAGTCACAAGAAAATCTAAAAAGTTACTACTACCTTCAAAAAAAAACAAACTCAATTCAAACTAAAAATTCTTTAAAAAATTCTAATAAACTTGATATTACAGACTATTATGATAATTCAAATGATCAATGGAATAATTGAGACGGATCAGCAGATAATTATCAACGACATCGTCAACAATTAAATTCAGATAATCTTCACAGAAACCAAATCGTTATAATAAACAATCATCAACAAAAACATTGAATAATGATCGACAATAAACAAGTAAATTTCAATATTCATTTGAATCTTTATTTATTTTTTTTTTGTTTTTTAATTCAATTAGATTCGCATTTTAAACAAAATTCATCGACATTAAACAAAACTAACAATAATAAAATTCAATCAGTATGGCGTTCATTATCTTCAAATCGATCAGCAGAAACTATTGATCCAACACCACAAGACTCAATAATATATAAATCTCAACAACAAATAAATATCAATGATCATAAACAATGATATCAAACAATAAATACAGCATTTATATCACCATTAATGAGTGTACGATCTGATGTAAATACAACTGTGGAAATTATATAAAATTGCTAATCATATAAATTCATCACATTATGATAATGAACATATGTATTATGATTCAAATTTACAAGTCCATCAACAACAATATACAACTTATAATACAATTAATACATCTGATATATCATTAGTACCTACAACAAAGAATGGAACACGATAGAAAAAGAATTCTACAAATCATATAAATACAAATAATAATAAAACGAATTAATCATCTGAGCAAACGGAAACATCAGTTACTGATGAGATTGATTCTTTATTAGAGAAACCGAGGACAACGAATGAAAAAGTATCAATAAAAAAACCAAATGAAACATTGTATTAACTTCAGCAACGGAAATATTGGGAAAAGAAATTGTACACTCAAATGATTCCTGCAATGGTATATCATATGAAAAATTTGCAATAAAATATGATAATGAAACTAATGTTGTACAAATAGAAAATGAATTAACAAAAATAAATAAAAAAACAACAACAACACCGTCATCAAATTCTAAACGATGTACAAATAAAGACCAACAAAATTATCATCAAGATCAACAATATCAACATCAACAAGCTCCACGTCATAGAAATAATTATGCATGAGCAATGTAAGGTAATCTTTCATATTTGAAGTTTTTTAGATTTGACAATCAACATAAATATGCTTTTATGTTTCTAAATAACTATTCATCGGGAAGTATCTGACATGAAATAGATAATCTTTCTTTTGAAAACAGAAATATAATAGAAGAATTTTTTTATAAAATTAACTTGTTTTTATCCGATCTCAATAATCGTATTAAATATTTATTTAGAATATGATGCAATGCAAATGTCTGGTATACCTAATTATTATGGTTCAGTTCGTCGAGCGGCATATGGTGATCGTAATTCACACACACATGATCTATCCAGTAATTATTATTATGAACATCCTCAACAGTAAGTTTTCATTTTCATATTTCTTTATATATTATTCTTATTTATATATAAAGACATTATAATAATCGTTATAATTATTGGAATGAACATTATCAACAACAACGTTCAACAAATAATAAACATTCTAAACATGGCGGTGCACCAATTATAAAAAATCAACTGCAAAGACAACTAATAGTCAATAGAGGTGGTAATAATAATCATAATAATTTTCGTCACCATTCAGTAAGTGATATGATCAAAAAGAAGGTGAAGAATGAGAAATAACATCTTAATGGAATAGATAAGCAACAAACAAATGAAGCAAAATCAGTTAATCGTGATCGGACACCACCTAAGAAAAGTTTTTCCAGTCAAAGGTATACTGAAATCTTCAAAATTACAAAAGAAAATTATGTTATTCATTTTTTAAACCAAATGCGCGTTAGACTTTCAAATATACAAATGCATGGGAGAGACAATGGATGAATCTGTCTCGTTTCTCTTTTTTTTTGTTATTTCATCTTTATTTTTTATCATTCTCTCTCTTTATCTGTGAACATGCATACATATTATAATAAATATGTAAACTATATTCTTGTTCTTTCAAAGTAAATAGAAAAGTAGACTAAATACATAAATATATTGATATATTTATTCATCTTTATATCTTTGTTCGAAAATGAATTTTGAAAAAAAAGGCTTTTAAAGCAAATTTTGAAAACGAAAAAATATATTCTCTTTTGTTTTACATAATATACTGGTTATATTACTTTTTTTTCTCGAATGATAATGAATATCAATATTGTGTGTGATGTTGTTGTTGTTTGTTTGTCTGCTCCTTTCTCATTTTCCCTTTTTTCTTTGTTTTCGAATCGAAAAAAACATATTTAATCATCTGTACGTTTCATTTTTTTTGTCGTTGATGTGACACAATTGATCAAAATTATAAGAAAATCTCTCTTTTCTTGCTATTTATTATTTGTAAATAGAACGCAACAAAAAGAAATAACATAAAAATAATGTGCAAAACATTTTTATGGATGATTTTTTGTTTCTTTATCTCTATCTCCCTCCGTTCATGTTTAATCATAATGCGTTTATTGCCTGGCTAGTACATTGCAGGTTCTTTTTCTTTGTTTTTGTCTTGTCACGAAAAATAAAATGCAATCAGAACATTGTGTTTATTTAGTATCTATTATTAAAATTATTATCTTCTTGAAATGTGCTGTTTTCAACATAAATCATAAAAATATCTAGCAGTTATAAATAATTATTCTAATAAATGGTTTTCGAAAAGACGAGAATGTTTAAAAACTGAATTCTTACATTAAATTGTTGATGTGAAGAAGTCATTCTTAGATCTTTTTTTCCACAAAAAGTTACAACTGCTTGATATGATCTATGAAATAAAATCGAAAAAGAACTATACAATTAATTTCTACGTTTATTTCTAATCTTTGTATATTTTCTCCAAAGTGCTGAATGATCCATTTTCTTGAAAGAAAATATTAAAAAAAATTATCTTTTAATGTTTTTTCCAATTTTCGAGGGTTTTTTTCATTTCTTTGGACTCATGAAAATGATATGTTTGAATTCATCGTGAAAACATGCTTGTAAAATAGAGGGACTCAGAAGTGAAAAAAACATCAAAAAGTAGTATGTCGTCGAGTTTTTTGCATTTCAAGATATAGCTAAGTTTTATATAATATCAGAACCGCCAGACATTGTACTTCAAAAGTATAACTTTGCTTTTTCGAATTATTACTCTATTAGAAAAAGAATCTCATGCAACTCTGGTAGAAGATCTCTAAAACATAAAAACCTCATATTAATACCAGTTGTTTTATCACTAAAACTCGTCTAGTCTACAATGAAATGATAGATTCGGAATCAGCATGAAAAATTGAGTCGAACCAGATGTGTATCAAAGTGCTTGCATGATTTTAATTTTACGATGAAAATCTTGTTCTTAGTATGAACTCAAAAAATCAAAATCTTGAGAGACGAGAGAAAGTCATTCTACCCAACTCAAATATTCATGCTGATTCCGAATCTATAATTTATGTTGGAAACTGGACGAGTTGAAAAAAGATGATACATTTTGAATAATCAGCTGTTTTTCCCATCGATTATAGAGTTATATTCAGCTTTTTGTCGATAAAGACATACATAGAGAAATCTTTTGTTAAGTATACTGTTCTTTTTTGTCAGGACCAACAATGATATTTACCTATGAGTCTCCTTATAAATGTAAAATGTAAACATATCTCCATGATTGATTAAAAGAACTTAGTTGATTTCTTTGATCTGTAAGAAACATGCTCAATTATTTTTCGGTAAAGTAAGTTTTGGGACATCTTGTACAACAGTTTGGCTACATAACGTGACACTTCAACTATCAAAGTTTGAGAAAAACTTCTCTGAATCAAACAGATTTAAACGAGTGTACCAGACACAATTTTTAATGGTGATTACAAATTTGAGATTTATGGTGTAAAAAAATCAGATTTTCTCATCGAAAACTGGATTTTGAACTTTTCAAAAGTCGTATTTCGAATTCTGTAACCAAGAAATGATTCTAAATAATGCTGAGAGATATACCATTTCCTACAAAATAGCCTATTTAGTTTCGAGCTTTGGTAGCTGAGAACTATTTTTAACCTCTTAGACAGTTTCTAACTTACTGTTCAGTTTTTGAGCTCCCATCTCAATGAATGAATCTGATTCTTTCGTAAAACTCTTATCTACATAATAAAAACCTATCATTACGAAAATCAATTCATTTTGAATATGATAAGTACCTGAAAGATAACTGATAAAAAAACTGTGTCACAGTGTTACATTCGTTTTTTGCACTTTATACATAAATAAAAATAGGTAAAAGCAAATTTTTTTGTCTTTGTAAAGTTCGTTCAAAGCTCTACGAAAGTGGCTTTAGATGCATTTTATTTGAACCAAATGGGCTGCAAGAAATTACAGTTTTCTTGGTGGTACCGGAGAGAAAGGGCCTTTTTATGTGACATCGTTACGCGGTGATAAAACTATTCTAGATGCCCAAGAGTTAAACCAAAAAATATCTTTTTTTATCGAATAAATAGAGTTCGATAAGCTGTGTCGAATGGTGATTAACCAAACTTTATAGTTCTTAAAATTTTCGTGATAATTTCAAAGTAATAACAACTTATATCATTCGTATGAAATAAAACATTGAGTCAAGCTCTATGGCATATGAAAAAATCAGTCTGTTTTATTGAACTAATTTGGAAATATTTAGATTTCTTATCGTATGATTACTTATGAACCAACCTATATATCTTTAACATGTGCAATGCTTTCAACATATTATTCGATATTTCTTTTGTAAAATTATCATTTCTGATTATTAAAATCTATAGATGTTTAAAAATTTTGGAAATTCAATGAAAAAAAAACTCGTCATATGTCATAATTTTGAAAAGATTAAAAATGAACTCGATACAGTGTTTTCTAATTCTTTGGCAAAACTAGCGAATATTTGTCTCGAAGATGAGTCATTGTTAATATGACTATCGTCCATGCGTTGATACTTATGCAATCTTTCTTCCTTTTCATTTATGCATTAGCGATTTTATTGCACATGATTTATACAATATATTGTCGATTTTTGTAAGTTGTTTTTTTCTCATAATATTACGAAAGAAAATTTTCAATTGACGATGTAGTATAAATTCAGCAATCTTTCCTCTCGATTGAAAGGAATACCTTGTATTTAGTTCATATGAAACTTGAATCCGATTCATTAATAAAAATGTATAAACTTAAATATTAACAAGGAACGTTTCCATTTTCTTTCAGATAATTAATTGGTATCATATATACACATTATGGCTAATGTAGCTGTTATTTCAAAAAAGCCATCTTCATTTATCTATGAAAACTTAGTTTCTCAAGTCCAAAGCATTCAAAATCAAACTATGGAAATGGAGAACATCATTAATGGTCAATTGGAAAAAGAAAAGAAAGTACAAAATGAATTAAAATCTCGTTCATTAACATTCATAGATCCATATGGAAACCGAACAACAAAGAAATATATGGATCATCAATCAATTAGTAAAATAATTCGAGATTATGAGAAAAATTATGTACCTAAATATCTTCAACAATGGATACGAATTGGTACTCAAAATGATGATATTATTTCACCATTGAGTGAATATGGATTAAAATCTACTGTATCTGAATATGAGAATGGTTATGAATTTGTTTCATATGGTGAAATATCTGTATTTATTGGAAAACATGAAGATTGTTGGCCTCAAACAATTTTTGTTAATATGCTATTAATGGATAATATTGAAAAACTGAAAATGAGAATAAAACAACAAAGGCCATATATCGATTTTGAATTAAAATCATGTATTATAGATCCAAATATGGAACCAAACATAACCAATTGGAAACAAGGTACGATTGTAAAATTAACAGAAGCTATTATATCAAACCAATTATATCAAAGTAATTGTGTCATTTTGGCTAAAGTCATTGATAAGGAGGTAAACTATGATTCTCTTTTTGTATTTATGACTGTATTGTTTGATTTTTTTTTGAAGACTGATAGTGGTAGCGACCGCGGTTTTTGGCTACTTGTGAAAAAAGTTACCGGAGAAACTATCACTCTCAATGTGAATTCTCAAATGAATGTATTAACTGTGAAAAAATTAGTCGAAGATGTTGAAGGTACTCTTTGTGATCACCAACGTCTTATATTTGCTGGAAAGCAATTAGAAGATGACAAAACTCTCTCAGATTATAAAGTATCAGAAGAAAGTACACTTCATTTAATATTACGATTACGAGGTGGAATGTATCATTTTACAAGTGGTCGACAAGATTTTCGCTGTTTGCCTTACGATAGTATGGATGCTATTCAAAATGTTCTAACATTCAAGTTTAAAAATATGCATAATACTCAACAATTATCACTATCTGACTTGCAGAATTCTATTCTACAAGCAAAAACTGTTCTGTCAACTTTATATCATAAAACTCTGAAGCTTCGTATCTCCCCTGATATTCCTGATTTGAGAAAGATCATCCTACCAATACCTACTGACAATGAAGATGATAGTGATGATGATAATGAAGATGATCAATGACTATCCAATACAAGAAATGAATTACGAGTCTTTCGATTATTAGAACATAACACTCTCAAACATCTACTTATTAAAGAAGAACAACTTCGACTTAGTCAACAAACTCAACAATTATTATCATCTATTCAAGATCGAACAGATATTGATTGGATGGATATTATTGATCAATTACAAACACAATTAATCAAAGAAACAATTGGTCAAGATGCAACAGAAAGTGAAATTCAACATGGTTTGAAGTAAAATATTTGATTTTATTTTCTTAATAAATAAATGAAGATCTTTATTATTCTTTTTTTTGTTTTAGTATATTGAGAAGTGCACATGAGTTATATCCAAATGATGATGAATTTCATAATTTATCTCTCTATGTTCGACATAATCGTGCAAGACAAGGTCATTTTCGAGTTGGTGATGAAGCTATTGATATTGAACTATTAAATCTTAATAATGAATTTGTATCATTATTTTCTCATTCTCATTCTAATAAACCATTATTAATTATTGGTGGATCATATACATGACCACCATTTCGTGGTATTGTTCCACAACTTCATGAGTTAATGGATATTTATAAAGATCATATTGATCTAATAACTGTTTATATTGAAGAAGCTCATGCATCTGATGAATGGTAAGTAGTTGATTTGAATTAGAATGTAAACTAAAATTATTATTGTAATAGGCCAATTGGTAGTCGAATAAGTTATGTTCAACCAAAATGTGATGTTGATCGAATTCGAATAGCTAAAGATTTT